ATTGTACATTACATACTACTGACCCTTGAACTCTTCATTACATACTATCAACACCTGAACTCTTCATTAGATACTATTGACCCCCTGAACTATGCATTACATACCACTGACCCCCTGCATCGTGCATTACATACTACTGACCCCTGAACTCTGCATTACATACTACTGACCCCTGAACTCTGCATTACATACTACTGACCCCTGAACTCTGCATTACATACTACTGACCCCTGAACTTTGCATTACATACTACTGACCCCTGAACTCTGCATTACATACTACTGACCCCTGAACTCTGCATTACATACTACTGACCCCTGAACTCTGCATTACATACTACTGACCCCTGAACTTTGCATTACATACTACTGACCCCTGAACTCTGCATTACATACTACTGACCCCTGAACTTTGCATTACATACTACTGACCCCTGAACTCTGCATTACATACTACTGACCCCTGAACTTTGCATTACATACTACTGACCCCTGAACTTTGCATTACAAACTACTGACCTCTAAACCCTCTAAACTTTCCCTACATTTTACTTACGTTGCTAGGTTGTCTCCTTTCAAATAAAAAAATGCTGCACCCTTGTGAACATAATCTCTTCAATGTTGTTCAGTTAGATCTCCACCTCTCCAGGGTTGCATACCATTGTTTTAACCCTTCCTCACTCCACCCAAAAAAAAATAATATTTTGCTGGAGTTTAACAACTAACATTACAAACATGTTTGCATTGCAGATTTAATGTTGTAACTGAGAAAATACAACTATTAGGGGTGTCTAGTAAATGTTGGGGCATATTTATAAAGCAGTGAATGTGACATTTGCCAAACATTCACTGGTAGTGAATAAATCACTGATTTAAAACACCTGCGCCTGGAAGATTCAGGAAGATTGTGTGAACGACAGATTGACTGCTTTATAAATATGCCCCTGTGTGTTCAAAAACATTCAACGATAAATGATCTCTTAATGCAGAATGGAGCTTCCTTGTTCAGTGGTTTCTCTGCTCCGAATTTCATTTGCATTCCTCTGCATATAAAAATAGATTTGAGATGTATAGATTCTCATAGAACCCCACCTACACAGTGCAGCTGTCACCAAACAGTGCCCCATCACAGGATTCCCGCCTTCCTCCACCAGAGAAGAAGGACAGAAATAGACTAAAGCTGGCAACCCGCAGACCGAAATTCATCCAATTCCTGCTGAATCCGCCCAAATCCGAGCTGTGGGTGGCTGCGTGGACACCACCCGGTTCGATAAAAGTTGATTTTTCACTTGACTTTTATCGATTGAGCCGGGTGGAATTATCGGCTGAACTGTAGGAACAATAACTTTCAGTATTCAGCAGTCGCCGGAAAAGCTGAATACAACAGCCAGCGTTTGGGATTCCTCTATCCATGGATGGGGGAATCTTATGGCTTCTCTTTCAGCCCACTGGGGTGAAGTAGTGAAATCTAATAGTGTGTGGCTACAAATCCACACCCACCCCCAATATCCCTTTGT